GCAAATTTCAAGGAATCATGAGGTTCAAGGGTTAGAATCTTACCACCAATGGTCACACAACCAAGGATTGATGGCTCCTCAAGCTTCAATGGAGGTAGAAACTCTCAAAACCCCAAATTTCTCCAAAGGGCCGAATTTTTGAGAGGTAATATCTCTCTCCACAATGCTCCCCACTCAAAACAAAGCTAGGATTATGAAAGAGGGCGAGATTCTAAGCGATTTAGGCTTTTGAATCATCCAAAACCATCAAGGTTTGATCTCTCTCTCTCTCTTTCCCTTTTCTTCTTCCCTCTCTTCTCCCTCTCTTCTCTTCTCCTTTCTGGTTCGACGGGTTGGGTGGGAAATGAGGGGTTCTTTTGGTGACTTAAGTCACTTAACATAGGTTAAGTGGCTCTAAGCGGGTATTGGTTCGTCTATCTATTTAACTCCAATAATTACCAAACTTTACCCAAAAGTCTGGAATATTATTCTAGGAATATTACTATTTTTATTTTTATATTTTGGGTACTTTTGACAGTACCCATTTATACCCCTTAATTTTCACTGAGTACACTTTTTAACTCCAAAGTGACTCAAATTCATTTTATTAAGCCTCATACTTAATTTCACCCAGTAAAACATGTTTAATTAATTAATTACACTTGATTTCCTAATTAATTAATATGGGCTATTATATCTTGCCTCTAAAGATATCTGCCTCATGCACGTTTGCAACTGAAAATGTGCCCCATAAGGGGTGAGATCTCTAGCAGAAATCTCAGTAAGATAAGAGGTCCTCAAGGACTCTTTCGCCCCAAGCTCACCTACAGGTATATAATAAGTATGACAAAATAATAAAATCCATGGCAATAATAATGCAGTATCATCATAGTAAAATAATCTGATCCTCATATAATCATATATCTCAGTATATATCGTGCGATGTATGCAAGTGTGGTTTAACTGGCTAGAGAATATGATAGGCATTATGCACGTCTGCAACCTACCAAAACATAAGGGTCGCTGCCTTATGCCTTACACACCAGGGTCACAGCCTGATCGTGTAAGTAATCAACATCACATCCATACATTACATCAACAAGTATATCCACATATATCATATAAATATCATTGCATGAACATTTTCAGAAAAAGCATACCATGCACATCAAATCATCCTCCCATGGAGTTTGGTGGAACAAACAGTGGATATATCTGAGGACCAGAATCTTACCTGTTAAATAGAATGCTCAAAGGCATACCAATCCAACAGATGAACAGGCAGCATTGCGTACAGAGTCACAACCTAATTTTACACAAGAAATTTAGTCAAGAGACATACCCTATCTTTTCATGCTTACGAGTCTCTAGTTCTTTTTTGTTTCACGTACTGCAGGCTTCTCCCAAAGCCCTCAAGCACAAAACTGTATTTACCATATTTAAACTGGCATTGCAACTCTTTACGAAAAATCCTAAGGTTTTAATATGTTAAACTAGACATCACAAGCTTCCAACGATAAATTATATGTCTCATTTAGAGTTGTATAACTCTGATTATATTTTTCGCGAAGTGACTGCTGCAATTTGCATTTCCAACAACAAGGCAGAAGCTTCAAACCCAAACTGTAACACCCCATTCTAGAACTGATTTGTTAACATTACGTATGACATTAGTCGCAGTTACAATCAGAATAATTGAATTAAAGTACAGATAAACTTTTTCCTTTTTATTTATGTACGTTTATGTTTAAAATCAAATCCGTAATTAAAACAATTCCAATAGTTGTAATCATAACTTAAACTATGTGTGGAACACCTAATATAATTTTATTTAAATCATACGTTAACACTATAGTGTGCCAAGTAGTCCCTTTAGCCCAACAAGGCTTAACAATTCATTTTTATCGTTATTCAACACTATAAACCTCCACTATTTAGTTAACTTAAGGAATTTTATACTATTTCTATGGTCTTAATTTTCCAATATGTTATAGATTTCTTCGTTAGCTACGCGTGGGTTAAACCGCGCTCAAATCGGAGCACCGTAGCTCAAGTTATAAATTTTTGGAGAAAAATTGCGAATTTCATAGGGATCCCGCCTTGACAGCTCTAAACCCACGCTGATAGCGCCAATCTTACTTCCTTTTATGCATCTTATGGCGCCGATAGCGCCAACCCACTATTTGGTAGCGCCATATTGGCGCCAAAAGCGCCACGGTTATGGAGATTTCACTATATTTTGGTATTTTACCAATAACTTGAGTTATACTTATCTGTTTGACGCAATCTTGGTCTCGTTGAAAAGCTAAGAGAAAGATCTATAACTTCCATTAAGACAAAAGGGTCCAAATCTATCATATAGGATATGAAAAATGGACAAAAATCCATAATATCCTTATATTTACATTAATTTTCAACCCCAAAGGTTTTCCTTCACCTAATAGACATTATACAACAATTTCAATACATGATTATTGCCATGTCAAGGCTCACATGATATCCAAAAAGGCTCAATTAGATCAATGTGCTTCAAAATGATTATATACCAAAGACTTAGAGATTACAAGTGATCAAAGTCCCACAAGGGCTATACAACATCAATGATCAACTTCTAAGTCCTATTTGCATTCATCTATCACTAATGCATCAAAATATCTCAAATATCATCTATCATAAGCAAGCTACTCGGGCCCTTTGCCTCGCCCAGTATCATCTCTGCTAACACCTGAAATAACAGTCCCCAAACGGAGTGAGATAAAACTCAATAAACCCAGGGTTCTTGGAGAGTTTCTCCAACCCCAGAGTTCACTTCCTGCATGAAGGGTTAGTATACACATGGCATGAACTACATCATATATCCAGAGGCAGTAACAGTAATGATTTAACTGCAGCGTACTCGTGCATTTAAATGGCCAAAGAATTAAACAATCAAATCATCACACACGCTTCAGTTGCATCTTAGTCCTTTCCACTAAGCATACAACCTAGCCCCTAGTGCTTGTCCATTCGTGTAATGGACTTTTGCATTTGGATGTCTGTGTAATGAGAAATCAAAGAAAAAAAATTAAAACTGAAACCCCCTTCCATGGAGCTGTTTCGGCTAGAGGGAGAAGAAAGAAGGCTTCGTTTGTACGCTTAGGAGGAAAATATAAAGGAGTTTACGGTTGGTAAATTTAAGTTACTTTAACTGGGTAACAATTTATTATCCACACATCTCCATTCAATACCAAACTTTCCCCAATAGACTAGAATATTTTTCTAGTCATATCTCTAACTTTATTTTGACTTTTCGCGTAACTTTGTTTACCCTCATTTTTACCCCTTAACTGTCATTTTAACTCTTTTTTCACCAAAGGTGACTTTATTTCTTTTACTTCTAATTATTCTTCAATATTAAATCCACAACTACTAGTGACAGTTATTATAAGTGGAGCGGGCTGCCCGCTTTGCCATCTCTACCCACTTATTATGATTTGTTACTTGGCCCATTGATGGAGAAATCCTGTTGTGTCGTATCTCGTGTCCCGTGTCAATATTAGTGCAAAATAGATCAATTAAGAGCCACATATTTTTCTTTTAAGTAAAAAGAGTCATGTACCGAAGATTTACTCGTACCGAAGAAAAACTACGACTGTCAAGGATTTCAAGAACCAGCTGTGAATTTACCATTTTTAGGCTGCAAAAAAATCAAAAGAATCAAACTGGATTGTGAATTGAACCGTACAAAAAGGTTTATATTTTTTTGAACTAATTTAAGAATAAAACTATTTCACGTAGAATCGATTCAAGAAACCGGCGTAAGAACAAAAAAATTGAATTGGTTATTTTTCCCTTAATTGTTTGCATTTTATTTTATTTTTTATTTTATTTTTTTGCTTTAAAACTGGTTCAAAATCAAATTTGGTTCTAAACCAATTCAGAACCAAAAGTGAAAAAGTAAAATTTGTTCAGTTCACTGAACCGATTCACTAAAATCAGTTAACCTAATCACTAAAACATTCAATTTCAATCCTATGTAAAAAACCTAACCGAATTGAAGTATGTCCATCCCAATCTCCTGGTGTCAATATTTATATAAGCGTTGCCGTTTTAATGTAGACATTTGAAAAAATGAAATTACGTACAGTACGTTGTTCAGTATCGTAGGGCTAACGCAAGATGTCATGTTTAAACTATCCAAGAAATGAAACGTAGTATATAGGGTCGTAGTCTTTCACTCTTTTGAGTAATTTGCGTATTATATTAGGAAAGAACCATAGACTTCGAAAAATTAGTGAAGAATCAAAGTTAAGCACAAATGATTAATCATATTAGTTGCCACTTTGAAAAAATTCCGAATTGAGCTTTCAATGAGACTAGACGATTACACACGCTTATGAAGTCTATTAAGTTATCTTTGTTTAGTAGCGTAACAAATTAGTTTATAAAAGACAACTGATTTTGACGCCACTTGGATTCTCCGTGCTTTAGAGTTTAGACTTTTATGGTCGCTTCTTGACTTTTTGCACTTTGTAGCGGAATTAGGTTGCAACACAACAACAACAACAAAAAAGGTTGCAATACTTTTTGAACTGTTCATGGGTATTGATTGGGTTGCAATTGAAATGTTCACGACTCCTTAAAATTTTGAGAAAATTAGTTTAATAAATTATGTCAATTAAATATTATAAAGAATGATTTCAACCAAAAAGTTTAAATTGTTTGGTGATTGGTGAATAAGATTCACATGCTTTCATGTGTATGTAGTAAAAACATTATCTATTTTTTTGGAATTACAGGAAAAAAAGATACAAAAACAAACACTAGTTATAAACCAATATGGGTATAGATACCCCCACCAGGCCAGTTCCAGGCTAGGTTCCAGGGTTTAAGGGATGGTTGAGGAAGGGATGACAGGTTAAGGTATGCCGATTTGACAGAGAAATTACCATTCTTGGAGTCTCTCCAAATCACTCTATACTCTCCCTCTCCCGCTGGGGGGGGGGGGGGGGGGGGGTAATCCCAGCGATAAAATTAAGGACCTGAATGGGGAGTAAATGTTGGAAGAGGTTCCATCTCCAACTTCCCTGAGCATCCACAAACCTGTCCACCCCGTAGTTTAGATGAGCCTCGTTTATGGGCCCCGTGGCAACTGCCAGCAAGTTATTCACCTGAGAAATCCATCTATCCAGCCAAAACTTAGTTCTCCTCCCATCACCTGTTAAAATCCTTGATCCATCAGTGATTTGAGTCCATTGGTTTAGCACACCTTTCCACAGATTGGATTTCACGGAAGTCCTAGTAGGGTTGGGGATCAGATCGTCTCCAAGGCCATATTTGTTGCGTACAACCTTCACCCAAAGAGCATCACGTTTAGCCAGAACACTAAAGCCAACTTTCATGATTAAGGCATTGTTCATAGCCTTCGATTGACGAAGGCCCATGCCACCGTAGTCCTTGGACGAGCAAAGAATATTCCAATTTACAAGGTGGGATTTCCTTTGGGAATCTGTGGAACCCCAAATAAAGTTTCTGGTGCATCTATCCAAATCTTCACACACGTTGATAGGGAGGGAAACCGACTGTATGCTGTAGGTGGGATGGGCTGCCACTACAGGCTTAGCTAGCGTGATGCGACCAGCTAACGTTAGGGAGCGGTGGCTCCAACTATCCAGTCTACCTTGAACGTGATCCATGATATGGGAAATGGAGGCTCGAGACACTGCTCTATGATGAAGGGAAATCCCTAGGTATTTACCTAGGTCACCAGTCAGGTTGATGTTAAGACACTCGTTGATCTCCTTGTCTCTAGCGAAGCAGGTATTCTTGGAGAAGAAGACCCTAGATTTCTCCCTGCTGATGTTTTGACCGGAAGCATCACAGAAAACTCTGAGAACTTGGTTACTGATTTGGGCTTGCTCGATAGAAGCTTCAGCGAACAGTACTATATCATCAGCGAAGAGGAGATGGGTAATAAGGGGACCATCCTTCTTCAACACAATAGGTTTTCATGCTTTGGCATGAGAGGCAACCTGAATTAGATGAGCCAACCTTTCAACACACAGGACAAAGAGATACGGGGACATGGGATCCCCTTGACGCAGCTCTTTCTCAGGTTTGAACTCCTTAGTCCTTTGACCGTTCTAGAGCAAGTTCATAGAGGACGAGTTGACACATTTATCTATCAGACGAATCAAGTTATCAGGAAGCCCAATTTCCATCAAAGTGTCATGGATGAAACTCCACTCCAATCTGTCATAGGCCTTGGCTAGGTCAAGTTTCAGGGCCATCCAACCTTTCCTCCCTCTCTTCGTCTTCATTGAATGGATGACTTCTTGGGCTATAATGACATTGTCATTTCCATTCCTGCCTGCAACGAAGCTGCACTGATTAGGGGAGATCTAGTTCTGCATGTGCTGCTTCAATCAACTAGCAATCAGCTTCGTGATGATCTTGTAGGACACATTAAAAAGACTGATGGGCCGCATCTGGTTAAGATTCTCTGGGTTATCCACTTTCGGGATCCACATTATAAGGGTTTGATTGATCTCCTTCACTCTATTTGGATCAGAGAAGATATCAGTGATGAGAAAGAAGATGGACTGGTTAATATGGTGCCATTGGGACTGGTAAAAAACTGCCTGAAGACTGTCAGGCCCTGGAGCCTTGAATTTCCCCATAGAAAAAATCATCTTTTTAATTTCGTCGTGGATAGGAGCACAACTTAGGAGAAGACGCTCGTCCATGTTAGGCTAATTGAAGGCTCCTTTGATAAGAAATTCATTAAGATCATTATCTTGGGAGGAGTACAGCTTAAAAAAGTAATCCGCCGTATAATCAATGATGGCTTAAGGATCCGAAAGCCAAATCCCACCATCATTCTTGATGGTAGTAATTTTATTCCTTCTTCTTTTTGCTATGGTGTTGGCATGGTAGTATTTAGTATTACGATCCCCAAATTTTATCCATTCGCACCGCGATCTCTGAAACCAATCAATCTCCTCTTGAATCAGAATTCTCTCTAGGTTATGCCACAGAGATTTTAGCATTAACTCAAGATTGTGATTGTAAGTATGGTCCAAACGGTCCTCGATACCTTTGATCCTCGAATGTAGACAATTTTTTTGACGCTGTTTGGCCTTGAAAGTATGAATATGCCAATCAACCACTACTTGTTGAAAGCAATCTCTGGCTCCACCCAGCTCGTGGATTGATTCCAGCACCTAGCCATAATGCCATCAAAGCTATCATCAGTTAACCACGAGGCCATGAACCTGAAGGGTTTACTTCCATCCTAGTTCGTGGTGCTAGGGTTCCCAAGGATAATAGGGCGATGGTCAGAGGAGTAGTAAGGAAATTATCTAAAACAACGTGAGAAATTCTAATCCCATATCTATTTATATTGAGAGAATCCATAATATTTAATTTATGGGTAAAAGATTTCTCCAGTCAATGGAGATAAGTTATCTTCAGTGAGCCCAACATGACGTTGTTTTGGGAGAGAAATCAATGTGTTTTCGTAATTCTAATATATTACAGGGTTATATTAGTCTTTATCATTATAATTTTTTAATCTTATAATTCAAAACGATGTCGTTTTGAACTCACTGGAGATAGACTGAAGAAATACTTTTTTCTTAATTTTTTTATTAATAAAATAATAGTCGATAATGAACGAACTCGTGATCACTTAGTCGTGAAAGCTTTAATACCATATACAGAACCAATTTAACTTAAAAGATTAAACATTTGGATGATGCCATATCAATAATGTTATATTATATTTATTTCTCTGACAAATACAATTGCAGAATGCTGTTTATTAATGGAAAATACTAAGAAATGGTAATACAGTTCCATCCTTAAAATTAGTATAAAATTTTAAGAATAATAAGTATAAGATAACTTTATCTCTCATATAACCATAATAGTGGGTCTACCTTTTTTTTGCTTCCTCTCTTTATTGGGCCTCACCGACTCTCATGTGTCTGTATTAGTATAGTTGTTTCATATTTGTAGGAAAAACATCATATCTTTAACAAATCTACTTTAATATATAAAATTAGAAAATATTTTCTTTAAGGTGTTTAAAATATTAGTTTGCCTTTTCAAAGAAAAAATATATAAGATATTTTTAACTTCTCTTTTTTTTTTTTCTTTTTTTTTAAATTTTTTCTTTTATTTTACATATTTTTATTTTACTTAAATTAATTATGTATTTCTTTTTAAATTCTTCTTTTAATTTAATTTTTATATTTTATCTAAATTTTTTAAAAAATGCTTATGCATGCATAAGAGGCTATTACAAAAAATCAACTCTAGATAATGCTCTCAGAAATGCTGTCATTCATTTTTATTTTTATTTTCCAGCAAAGATGGAAACAACTGAACATGTTTCTTTATGAAATTCTTATTGTAGAGCAAGAGGTTCATTTAACCTACCGAGCATCATATCTTTTTATTTTTATTTTTTATAGAGTTACTTAACTATAATTATATTTTTGAGGCGAGTTAATTTCTCTTGCATTTCCATAAATTTCGACTCTTTAAGTTAGTTATGAGATTAATTCGGAGAATAAAGAGAGTTAGAGGTGAAAATATTTAAACAGCTCCCAAAAGTAACATGTGAAAATTGGATCCAAAAAGATTAGTCTTTTACCGCTGAATATAATTACACGCATCTATGCATCATAATTTAATGCATGTCCAACTAACTATCAATGAATAATCATCGAGCGTCTAACATTGTAATGGTCACTTCGTTGGTTGAACTTGAATCCTTCTGATTTGAGCGTAAATATGCTTCCACAGAAACCATCCTTGAAATGAAACCATGTTCTTTAGGCTCAACCAATTCCATCTCACTCCCCAACATCAGAATCACTGAGGCCATTGTAGGCCTATCTTCAGGGTACTGTTGCACACACAAAAGACCAACATGGAGGCAACGCAGTACTTCAGATACAACACGTGACTCCTTCACATTTGAGTCAATCAAATCTAATGCCTTACCCTCTTTCCACATTGTCCATGCCTGAATCATAAAAGTAACAAAGATAATTAATTGTTTGTTATATTTAAATTTGACATACATAAATTAAAAATTTGTTCATTTACTTACATGACCAACAAGGTTAAGACTCTCATCTGTATGATAATATCCTCTATTTCTCTTGCCGCATATAACCTCCAACAATAAAATGCCAAAGCTAAAGACATCAGATTTCATTGAAAATACCCCATCAACAGCATACTCTGGTGCCATATATCCACTGCAAGACATCATTACGGCAAAAACCATTCACATATTTTAAAAAATACAACATCAACATTTATAACACCTTTATCCCAAATTAGTTGGGGTCGACAACAGATGAACTCAGATGTCAAGATAATTCTATTTGTTCTTTTTCATATAGATAGTTGTTTTAATTTACGGTCGGCTTGTTACATCTGATGCCAACTCTCTTCATTTACCTTGGTTTGGGACAGGTCATGCATGCATACATACGTACATAGTTGGAATTATATTTTCTTAAAAATAAATAAATAAAATATGGTGCTGGATAACGAGACACTCACCAAGTCCCAACTACTCTTTTTGTGCTTCCTTCAGTCTGGTCTCCTCCAAAAATTCTAGCCATTCCAAAATCTGATATTTTTGGACTCAAATTTTCATCAAGTAAAACATTACTTGCTTTGAGATCTCTATGGATAATCCTCAATCTGGAATCATGATGAAGATACATAAGCCCCCTAGCAATTCCACAGATTATGTGGAAGCGCTGAGGCCACTCTAGCAATTTACCTTTTGTATCATCTGTTTTATTCAAAGCAAATATGTTATTCAATATTGAATAAAGCCATTAAAAACTAGTGCACTCAAATCTAAGCTTTCTTGATTTGCCATACCAAAAATAAAGGAGTCTAGGCTGCCGTTGGCCATGTATTCATATATCAGCATTTGTTCTTGTCCTTGAATGCAACAGCCAAGAAGTTTTACAAGATTTCGGTGCTGAAGTTTTGCAATCAATTTTACTTCATTTAAGAACTCTGTCAATCCTTGTCCTGAGCTCCTTGACAGAGTCTTTACAGCAATTTCTTGGCCATCTACTAATATTCCCTGCATAATCACTCTCATGAGTTGATGCTTTGTATTAATATTTATCCTGCTCTAGTTTTTTTGACTTGTAATAATACTTAAATAATGATTACCCAATATACAGGTCCAAAACCACCTTCTCCAATCTTATTCTTTATGGAGAAGCCATTAGTGGCAGTAGTAATTGTTGGCAGATCAAATAATGGGATATCCAGATCATCCACATGGCTTTCATTGTTATTAGTCAATGAATTCTCTACACAATTGAAGAAAGCCTTCAGTAATATTATAAAACGTGAGGAGGGAAATGAAAATAGTTAAAATAAATAAATATCAATATAAGAGGAGGAAAAAATAAAATACATTTTGTGATTTCATTTTATTTAATATGTAGCAAGTTATTAAACTCTTAGACCATATATTCAATAAGATGCTATGGCATGATAAAATGCTACTTGACCTACACTTCAATGTTACATGAATGATTAATTCATGAGAACTTCATTCCGATTTGCAGCATTTGTAATTAAAATGTTATACATAGAAAAATGCAGTCATCTGTTTAGTAAAACTCTGGGTGAACAATCATACCAGCAATGTTCCTCCGGATTCCACAGATAAAATAAGTGCTTAGTAAAAGAACACCAAAAATTGCAGCAATGGTGGTAGCAACTATTATTTTCGTGTTCTTCGTGTGTCTATATTCAGGTTCTTCCGGGTTGGATTCTATAAAAATAACAAAAGCTGAATTTAGAGTGATCTTGATTCTTGAGTTTTCAAAGTTGCAATTGAACTTTGATGGGAAGAATAATGGAAGTATCATTAAGCAAAGTTCATAGTGCTTACCTAACTCTGAAGCAGGCATTCTAATATATAGATCTTGCCCACCTGGTTGAAACTGTTTGATGTCAATAAGATTACCAAACCACATGACACAGCCACTACCTGCTCCTCTTATGTCTGAATTTGTATAAGCCATACAAGAGCAATTACTCAAGCACTTGACTCTGCATTCCTTTAGACCAATACTCTCATCCAACAAAGTATGTCTAGTATCTGGAACTTTCAGCCCTACAAATTTGACAAATCCATCTGTGTGTTTGTCTTTGCAGCTTAATGCTTTATTTCGGACACATCCTTGAGTCCAATCCGATGAGTTCCATGCTTTTGGTGACTTTGGACTGAACCCTTTCAAACACTGGCAGACTTGTGGTTGTG